CTAGACAGATTGGATCGTTCATTAGTGTTATTTTTATAACATAATGTGATATAATAAAATAAAAACAGATACAGTAGACCTGCCTGTTCTAAGTCGTGTTTAAAATACTTGAAAGTAGTGTTCTAAATGATTATGATTTCAAATTGATGTTATTTTCAGAAATAACATCTGAAATGTAATTGCATAGCATTAACTTTTTTCAAAAATAGTTTGGTATTAATTTTGGAAAATTGTATTATCTCATGACACAAATAATTTTTTTCTGTGTTGCTCTTAGGTGAAGCTGTGGTATGATAAAGTGGGACACCAGCTGATTGTAAATGTTCTGCAGGCAACAGATCTGCCCCCTAGAGTAGATGGGCGCCCCAGGAATCCCTATGTAAAAATGTATTTTCTTCCAGATAGAAGGTAATGAATAATAGAAAAAAAATATGTTACTGTCTATACTGATAAAGAAGATAGGAGCTCTTCTCTTGGAATTGTATTTTTAAAATATAATAAATAATTCTTATTGGGGGAATAGACTGGGGCAGGGGGGTGGGATCCCTCATGCCTTGTATTTCTTTGATAAGGTTCTGTCAATTATTTTACATTTAAATTGCCTTACTTATACATATATAAGTCTTTAATAGCTATACATCATTCAGAATTTACCTTGTGTTTGGGGGCCTGTATTCATAGCTATCACTTGCATTGTCGTTGAAATTAGAAAAGTATTGAATGCTACTGTCTTTTTTGTTTTTTAAACTTTTAAAGTACATATTGTAAAACAAAAATAGTAAAAATCTCAATGGCAGTATTCCATATAACTACCACAGATGGCAGTATATAATTGTGTTTGCTTTTTCATTTATGAAACACTTATTTTTCAGTGATAAAAGTAAAAGGAGAACCAAAACAGTAAAGAAAGTACTAGAACCAAAATGGAATCAAACTTTTGTGTATTCACATGTACATCGTAGAGATTTTAGAGAACGAATGTTAGAAATAACTGTGTGGGATCAACCAAGAGTTCAAGAAGAAGAAAGTGAATTTCTTGGAGAGGTGATGTATATAATAAAGATTCAAGTCAAATGCTTAATAAATTTTTTTGTAATACATATTAATTGTAAATTCTTAACATTGTCTTGTGGTAAAACTGCTTAATTTACTTTGATAAACTACCCTTTCAGATCCTCATAGAATTGGAGACAGCACTTTTAGATGATGAACCACATTGGTATAAACTTCAGACACATGATGAATCCTCACTACCTCTGCCTCAGCCATCACCTTTCATGCCAAGGCGACATATTCATGGAGAAAGCTCTAGCAAAAAGTTACAAAGTAAGGTCAAGGTCTTCTTATTTATTAGAAAGTGATTGTTACAGTGATACAACAAAAGATTCATATTCAAAATATTTTTCCATGATTTATTGTTGTTGTTGTTAAGTGCCATCGAGTCGGGTTCGACCCATAGCGACCCTGTACAGAGTTTCCGAGGGTGTAAATCTTTACGGGAGTAGAAAGCCTCATCTTTCTCCCGCGGAGCGGCTGGTAGTTT